GTCTTCATTTTTGGACATTCTTCTTTGGATTCTCTGCTTTGTTTCTTTGACCTCTGCTGAAATAGAGAAGTATGTGTGTCAGATATTTTAAGCACAGAAGAAGAATATGGGCCAGTTCTCGTGCTTACTGTTTCTTACTGATCAACTAGTCAGTCGTGGTCCACGTGTAGTCCACAGAGCCCTCAGCTCTTTCCTGTTATCCTTGTGCCTATTTCCGAGTTTTCGTTTTTGTTTCACTTTTAACAGCTTCGTTGGATTATAACTGACATGCCATGTCCCTCAGGTTTTATCAGGAATTTGACTTTGATTCTTATTTAAACTACTACAGTGTGGTAGAAAAGAGTTTTGGATTTGAAGTCAGAGGGGAAGAGAAAAGGGAAATCACATTTGTTGAGTGCTTGTCCTTCATCATTCAATTAATCAGATCTTTCTTGCTCCCTATTGTGAGCCTGAAATTGTGAAAGGCAATATAGGGAAGTGGTTCAAGGACATAGTTGCTGGAGCCAGGCTGTCTGGGTTTGAATCCTGGCTCCACCAGTTACTAGGTATAGGACCTTCATGACTTTATTTTTTTGTCATCCTGTGGAAGTGGGTGCCTGGGGATGTGGGTTCTCCAGGGTTTCAAAAATCTTGGGGCAATATGAGCACCTTCATGACTTCTTACTTCTCTTGTGCCTCAGAATCCTCACCTGTCAAGTGAGGATGCTAATAGTGTCCACCCCACAGAATTTTTGTGAGGATTACATGAACTAATAATTTAGATTTGTATTGCTCTCACAGTAATGAGTGTGTGTGTTGTGTGTGTGTGTGGCAGGCTGAGATGCTAAGAGATGGGGTTGGGGTATAAAACAGATATAAATAATGAATTATGGTAAAGCATGGTGAGTATTTCCATAGGAGAGGAGAGGGCATTGTTGTGGGAGAGCATATAGCATACAGGCCCAGCCTCCCTCACAGGTCATAGACATATACTAGTGGAAGTGATGTTAAGCTGAAATATAAAGTAAACACTGAATAAAAGTTAGCTGGGCTGGGGGTAGGGAGATGAACCTGTATTCTGTGTTTTGGGCAGAAGGAACACTATACGTGAAGCTCTGAGGAGAAAAGGGATCATGTGGTGTTTAAAAAACAGAAGAAATCCAGTGAGCCTAGAGTGTGAGGAGCATAGTGAGAGATGAGGTTGGTGATGAAGGCAGGAGCCAGATTGTGGAAAACCTTGTGAGTTGTGTTAAGGAGTTTGAGTGGCTAAGAGCCAGGTACAATCCTTAGGGGTTTTCATTAATTCCTTCAAGCACCACAACTCTGTGACATAGGTGTTATTAGCCCAATTTTGTCAATGGGAAGTTGAGGCTCAGAAAAATTGTAATTTGCCCAAAGGCACACACTTAGAAGGTAGTACAACCAGGATTTCAACCTAGGTCTTTCTAACTCCAAAGCTAGAATTCTTTGGATGACACCATGTGCTTCTTGAACTTTAGGTCTGGCTGGTAGCTTTTTAACTTTGGACCACCCTCTTAATTTCCCTGAACCTCAGCTTACTCACCTGTAAAATAGGTAATATATTAATAAATACCAGCTTTATAGACTTGTGAAGACAAATAGAGATATAAAGTGTCAAGTGTAGTGCATGGCATAGAGCAAATGCAGCTACTGCTTATGGACCCAGATTCTTGTACAGAGAAATATTTTTCCTTCATGGTCCCAGTGAACTGAGATGGAACCCTGTGAGCCACCACCTGCTTGTTGGCTTGGTTGTCAGTCATCTTTCCAAAGTTCACCTGAAACCCAG